CCAACCTGCTTCAACCTATGTCCTGCCACCACGACATCCGCCAGAAAATAACCACAGTATGGAATGGTTAGTCCATTAGCTGCCGTCAGGCGCATGCATGTGTCAGACCTCAACCTATGGTCTTTTCCTTTCATCCATTTGGTGTAAAAATTTTCCGTGATTGTCGTCACCTGGGAGCCTGTATCCACAATTGCCTTCACCGCGATGTCCCCAATCGTAATCACCATTTCGGGACAGACTCCCATCATTTTGCTTCTTGGGCCATAACCTCGCCCCTCTGTAGCCTGGCCCTGCCTTACAGAGGACGACCGTTTCCCTGGCAGTACCGTGCCATATGTCCGGGTTGTGAACAAGACAAACAAATTGGTCGGCCGTCGGCCGTCCATTGGAGTGATGGCTTGGCGGGACGCGGCCGTCCAGCCCGTCCCTGTTTTGTCCCGTTCTTTTCCTGATTCTCAGCTGTTGACCTGCTTTCTAACCTCTCCAAACGTTGGTCAACCTTATCTAGGTGGGCCAACAGTTGAGCCATCATGGTCTCCATCGTGTCGGCCCCTGTGGGTGGGGATTGTCTCTGTTCAGGCACAGAGACTTTGTCCACCGAACAGTTCGATTGGTCCTCATCCTCGGACCTGCGGATCGCTGAGTTCCTGACCTGAAGGAAGGTCAACTGCGGGTCTTTGTGGACCTCCTCTTTCAACTCTCTTCTTAGGATCGGGGTTGCCAGCCCCTCGATGAAATGGTCCCTCAGTAGGCGCACATCAATGTCAGGTGTTTTGACCTTTACCGAATCAAAGGCCCTGTTCATCCGGTGTGAGTACTCCATCACACTCTCCGCCAATCTCTGCCTTAAGCCTACGAACCCTGCTAGCAGTTGCGATCCCGACCGTCTCTCCCCAAAGGTCTCCATAATCAGATCCAGCACCTTATCTGGATCTGATTGGATGGTTTTATCGTGGCATTTGACCTCTGCCCTAACCGTCTCTCCTATACTGCCCATCAGCAGTCTTAATCTCTCCTCTGGTGACATGCTTCTCGAGGCCCAGGCCGCTTTGACCTCTTCGCTGAACCTGTTGGTTAAAGTTGGATCACCGTCCCCGTAAAATTTGTTAATGTGGGACTCTCTGGGTAGGACCACTATATGGGTCTGCTTCTCGTCCAGAGTAGACATTTTATTCCGTAAGTAAAACAAAAGAGTTCTTTCTTACCGTGTGTATATGAAAAAAATTTTCCTCGATTTTCACCGTTCCTGAATGTCAGAATTCACACACACACTAAACACAGTTATGCACAAGGTTGACTATGGGTGCCTAACTCGGCAAGTCTAGTTGAATTCATCCTGTTCGCAGCGCCAATTGTGACCTTCCCCGAGTCTATCCTGCCCGACAACGCCAATTGTAACGAGTTGAACCACTCATGCTACACAACATCGACTACAGTAGAAAGACTCGAAGATGCAGGTTCGCTATTGATCCTTTTATTACATGAATCAAGAAATGCTTCAATATAACACACTGAATCAACAGAAATGTTTCAATATAATAGTCTGAATCAACTGACCCCCTAACAGTCCTCACTAGGCTTCATATAACTGAATCCACATGTCTAATGTCCTTCTTAACACAATATAACCAACTTGATATGTCACACAGACTGACTGATCTAAAGCGAGCGATGAAGAGGGAAGGGGCGAGTTCAGCCGTCCCCTCCTATTTATCCCTTGTATTCGTACTCATCTTCGTACTTGTATTTCTCCGTAATCGATACTTGTACTCGATGTCTCCGACCACTAGTTGCGCAGTTCTAACGTACAGTCCGTGTCATAAACATCTGCATCCTATCAATCAAAGTTGACAGGCCGTCTGAATCCCCTCGTACCGTTTCCCAAAATAGCACGCGTTGGCTTTGAGATTGTTATCAGTCCGATCCAATAAGCCACCTGCTATCGGTTGCGTCAGACTGTAATACTGCGTCTCGGCTTATCGTTCGTTATCAGATTTGTGACTAGTAGCTAGGCCCACCCTAGCTACATATATATATATATATATATGGTATTTTTACTTATTCAGAAGATAGAAGCCAAATTATTATTAAAAATGATAATGCTATAAAGTTTATAAATACGTTACTTAAAGCTCCGCCTATATTTAGAAACACCAAAGATTGTAATTCAATCAAAATATTTCTTTGTAGATCATTGCGAGTTTTTTTACCTGTTACTTTATTTCATTGACGTTTTTTCGATTTAAAAAATTGTGACATTTTTCTGCCATTTTTTTCCCGCTCTGTGAAATGTGACACATGTACCGCCCCCTCACCCCCTCCCCCCTCACCCCCCCCCCCCCCACACACACACACAATGTATAACGCTACACAAACTCCGAGCCAATCAAATTAGATTTGTGAGAAACATCTAGATATTAGCCTCCCTCCCCTCCCCGCCACAAACCGGTGTAATCCCAACTCCTCCTCCCCCCCCCCCCCACCCCCACCCTCCCAACATATAGAGCGTTAATTCGTCAGGTAAGAAAACATGAAGAGACAAGCGCCGAAAGTTTGACCAACGATTTTATTTTAAAATAGATTTTAACATTCAAATCATGAGTTATCATTGCATACATTTGTTGTAAACAAAGGTGGGGTGGGGGAGGGGGAGGGGCACGACTAACGGGGTCAGTGACCCGAGTTTATGTCTAGTGGTGAAAACATTTTGAAAGTGAACAAATCACATGAAATGGGTACAACACATCTCCACATCACATGAAATACAATCGTCTAGCTCCTGAATAGGGCTCCAGTAACCCAATAGTAGGTCTTCGACCAAACAGGAAAGGTATTTTTAAAAGTCATATTTGCAAATCATTCCTAACTGCTTTTTTGTAGCTCTAACTATATAAATAGACCATAATATATCAGGTTACTAACTAACATTTCTTTGCAAGTCAAACTGATCTTGTCGCTAAAGTCAGATGATTGCTGCCTCTACTAAATGTATCATCAAACAAACAAACAAACAATCAATCAAACAAACAAACAAATAAATATTCTGTTTTTGAGCCACATTTTAACATCGACCCAACATTTTCTTTCTTTGAAGGCGCCTGACTGCTTAAAGATTATTAATGAACAACTAATTAGACCCATTAGCAACATAGTTTAATGTCTATTGAACGAGGTTTAGGGTCAAAGGTCGTTTGGATACCAAATTCAGTGAGCTAAGACGAAGATTTATGGACAGAGGTCCAAGATCAAGAATGTTAAAAATATCACGTGACGAGTGTCTGAAACACCTAAACACACATCCAGATACACACACACACTCACACTCACACACACACTCACACTCAATCCCTCACACACACACTCACACTCACACACACACTCACACACACACGCTCACACATCCAGTAACACTCACACACTCACACACATCCAGACACACTCACACACTCACACACACACACTCACACACACTCACACACACACACACACACTCACACACTCACACACTCACACACATCCAGACATACCACACACTGACACACTGACACACTCATACACACACTCACACTGACACACTCATACACACACTCACACTGACACACTCACACACTCACACACAAACACATTCACACTCACTCACACTCACACACATCCAGACATACTCACACACAAACACTCACACACACTCACACACAATACACACACACACTCACACTCACACTCACTCACACACATACACACACACACACACACACTTACAATCACACAGAACTACACACACACACATTGACATCAAAACGTGTTTATAATAAAGCTGAGTATGATGACAAAAATTGTTAACATTTTAAACACAAAATTTGATAACATTGTTATCAGATAAAATTTGATAACGTTTGAAACACGTAAAATATGTCAACAATTGAAAATGTTACATTTGAATTAGGTTCATGTGTCGGCTGTATTCTACATGAGCAAAATATTTTATCACTGAACCAAAGTGATCTACGAACATTACTATCACACACATTTTAGATCCTTTAACAAAACATTTGAACTTAAACGTTGATGGACCTATGGCCAACAATCGGTCAACATTGAGTTCAAGAAAAAAACATAATACAGAAAAGAAAAAAGCGACACAATACAACAATAATTAAAGTCTTGTGTGCACACATTTCAACCACCCCCCTCCCCCCCCCCCCACTCCCCCCCAAAATCACAAGTAACCTGACGTAGGATACATATTTGTTTTGTTACATCCCGAAACACCAGTTGGCCAAAAATACAAGATGGAATTAAATAGGGGTGGAGGGAAGGGATTGGGGGTAGGGGGGAATTAATGGCAATATCACATTAAAGTGGGGGATCTGGTGGAGCCTATAAAGTTTGGGGATGGGGTGGGGGAATCACGCACACAAGCACCCCCACACAGCAACCCCACACAGCCCCACACACAGCCCCACACACAGCCCCCACACACAGCCCCCCACAGCCACCCCACACAGCCCCACACACAGGCACCCCACACAGCCCCACACACAGCCACCACACACAGCCACCCCACACAGCCCCCCACAAACAGCCACCCCACAAATAGCCACCCCACACAGCCCCCCCCACACAGCCACCCCACACACAGCCCCCACACACAGCCACCCCACACAGCCCCCACACACAGCCACCCCACACAGATCCCCACACACAGCCCCCACACACAGCCACCCCACACAGATCCCCACACACAGCCCCCACACACAGCCACCCCACACAGATCCCCACACACAGCCCCCCCACACAGCCCCCCCACACAGCCCCCACACACAGCCACCCCACACAGATCCCCACACACAGCCCCCACACACAGCCTCCCCACACAGATCCCCACACACAGCCCCCGCACACAGCCACCCCACACACAGCCACCCCACACAGCCCCCACACACAACTGGAGTGACTGGGCTATCACAATGAATAAAACGTTTGAGGCCAGGTACACATAGGGTACAAAGGTCAAGGTGATTTGGTTTCTTGAGAAAAGGGCGCCATATTGGTCCCCAACCTAAGACTATCCATATAGAAGTTGTGTGTACATGTACATCAGGATGTGATGTGTACATGCACATCAGGATGTGATGTGTTCAGTGCATAAAGTTGAAGCTAAATATCCAAGACTCATTCGAGTCATTAGAGAATCACATGTAACAATGTACACTAATTAATCTTTGAATTGATTGGCTCATTAAGAATGATGAGATTGAAGTTGGGGGCGTGTACACGTCCCACCCTATGTGTACTTGTGTACGACACCGATGCTAGCCATGCCCAACTTTTAGACTTGCATGAAGCAGACGAGAGACTGACGAAGGCTTGCATCGTCAACATCGAGCTGCGGGGGACAGGGCGAGACTCGACTCGTCCCGGGCTACATTTCCGTTAGGGCGCCCGTCCCTCCGGCTGGAGGCGAGGGCCCGCCTTTCCCTCCCCACCTCCTCCAGCGACTGGTACAGGTGCACACTCCCCCCCTCCGTGTCGGAGCTGTACTGCAGCTGGTCGTACGTCGAGCAGTGCTCGCAGGAGCCCGGCTCACTGCCGCATCCGGAGTGGCAGGACGGGCTCCGCAGGAGCGAGTCCTTCTCGCTGGGCTGGGGTGACTCTGACTCCAGGGAACCAATGCCCAGCGATGCCGCGTCACAACCGTTTATAACTGCGCCGTTCGACGCTGAGATGGAGACAGAGTTGTTAGTCGCGTCATCAATATCCGCAGGATGTGACGTCACGGCGTCTTGGCACGCGCCTGGTGACGTCACGTCACAGTTCTCATAGTCGCAGCTTTTTCTCGACGCTCGTGTGACGGGAGTGACGTTCTCGCGAGAACTTCTCGCCTTGTGACGTCGCTCGCTGGACCGGCATGCTTTGGGCGCCTCGTGAATGACGGAGCACGTGCTGCTTGAACACGTGACCAGTGGATGTGAGGTGGAGTGCTGGGGTAGAGCCGAATGTAAGATTCCACTGTACACATCCACCGAGTCGAGTGGCGCGGACCGGCGCTTGTGTCGCGTGACGGAGGCGGCCGACGGCTTGCCGATGGTCTCCGAGGCGCTGGAGCTCTTGACCATCATCTCAAAGCTCGGGACGCTGGGTCGGTTGCGCCGGACCCCCCTCCTCTCCCCCTTACTGCTGCTCGTGCTTCCCCCCTGGCTGCTCGACTTTTTCTTTCGTTTCTTCTCGCGGACGTTGTAGTACTTGGAGTCCCCGGGGGTCGGGGCGTGCCCGGGGGTCGGGGCGTGCTGGCCCTCGAACACGTCGTCCGCACCGTCGCTGTGTGTCGGCGACTCGGCCGGCAAGACGTGGATCTCGTCCATCAGGCTGCTGTGTAGCGAGGGCGGCGCGCGCACGCTGGAGGTGACACACCCCTTCCGGTTGACCTCTGAATAGAGGGGCGGGGCCGTGGCCTTGTTGAAGGGGTCGCCCTTCTCCTCCATGTTCTCTTTGAAAATGTCCGTGTACCGAGGCAGACGAGAGTCTCCGATCTCCGCGTACTCAGCCTCGCACGCTTTCTGCTCACACTCACTGTCAAGGTCATCTGGAGGGGATTTCTCAGCCTCGTTTCCGTCCTGGGAGTCACCGTCAGCTGTGGACACGAGACACAATCAACATTAATTTCAAATTAACAATCAATTAATGACATGGTTAATTACTCTTTCAACTAGAAAATACTATTCTTTATTGAACATTGAAAATAACAAATTTTAAACGTGTTACATGACTCCCAACCTGCCTGATTCCCCACCTCCCTGACTCCCCACCTGCATGACCCCCACCTGCCTGACTCCCCACCTGCATGACTCCCCACCTCCCTGACTCCCCACCTGCCTGACTCCCCACCTGCCTGACTCGCCACCTGCATGACTCCCCACCTGCCCACCTCCCTGACTCCCCACCTGCCTGACTCCCCACCTGCCTGACTCCCCACCTGCCCACCTGCTTGACTCCCCACCTGCCTGACTCCCCACCTGCCTGACTCGCCACCTGCATGACTCCCCACCAGCCCACCTCCCTGACTCCCCACCTGCCTGACTCCCCACCTGCCTGACTCCCCACCTGCCTGACTCCCCACCTGTCAGACTCCCCATCTGCATGACTCCCCACCTGCCCACCTGCTTGACTCCCCACCTCCCTGACTCCCCACCTGCTTACTCCCCACCTGCCTGACTCCCCACCTGTCTGACTCCCCACCTGTCTGACTCCCAACCTGCCTGACTCCCCACCTGCCTGACTCCCCACCTGCCTGACTCGCCACCTGCATGACTCCCCACCAGCCCACCTCCATGACTCCCCACCTGCCTGACTTCCCACCTGCATGACTTCCCACCTGCCTGACTCGCCACCTGCATGACTCCCCACCAGCCCACCTCCCTGACTCCCCACCTGCCTGACTCCCCACCTGCCTGACTCCCCACCTGCCTGACTCCCCACCTGTCAGACTCCCCACCTGCATGACTCCCCACCTGCCCACCTGCCTGACTCCCCACCTGCCTGACTCCCCACCTGTCAGACTCCCCACCTGCATGACTTCCCACCAGCCCACCTCCCTGACTCCCCACCTGCCTGACTCCCCACCTGCCTGACTCCCCACCTGTCAGACTCCCCACCTGCTTACTCCCCACCTGTCAGACTCCCCACCTGCATGACTCCCCACCTGCCTGACTCCCCACCTGCCTGACTCCCCATCTGTCAGACTCCCCACCTGCATGACTCCCTACCTGCCCACCTGCCTGACTCCCCACCTGCCTGACTCCCCACCTGCCTGACTCCCCACCTACCTGACTCCCCACCTGTCAGACTCCCCACCTGCATGACTCCCCACCAGCCCACCTCCCTGACTCCCCACCTGCCTGACTCCCCACCTGCTTGACTCCCCACCTGCTTACTCCCCACCTGCCTGACTCCCCACCTGTCTGACTCCCCACCTGCCTGACTCCCCACCTGTCAGACTCCCCACCTGTCTGACTCCCCACCTGCCTGACTCCCCACCTGCCTGACTCCCCACCTGCCTGACTCCCCACCTGCCCACCTGTATGACTCTCCACCTGCCTGACTCCCCACCTGCTTGACTCCCCACCTGCCTGACTCCCCACCTGCTTACTCCCCACCTGCCTGACTCCCCACCTGTCTGACTCCCCACCTGCCTGACTCCCCACCTGTCAGACTCCCCACCTCCCTGACTCCCCACCTGCCCACCTGCATGACTCCCCACCTGCATGTCTCCCCACCTGCCCACCTGCATGACTCCCCACCTGCCCACCTGCCCACCTGCCTGACTCCCCACCTGCCCACCTGCATGACTCCCCACCTGCCTGACTCCCCACCTGCTTGACTCCCCACCTGTCTGACTCCCCACCTGCCTGACTCCCCACCTGCATGACTCCCCACCTGCCTGACTCCCCACCTGCTTGACTCCCCACCTGCCTGACTCCCCACCTGCCCACCTGCATGACTCCCCACCTGCATGTCTCCCCACCTGCCCACCTGCATGACTCCCCACCTGCCCACCTGCCCACCTGCCTGACTCCCCACCTCCCCACCTGTCTGACTCCCCACCTGTCTGACATACATACCTGCACTGGAGTAAGTGTGGTTGTCAGGGTCACACAGAGGAAGGCACCTGAAAAAATCATCAAGATGTTTAAAGTCTACAGTCACATGACTTGTGGTAGATAAGTCTAGCTGACATCACAGTGTCCTCATTAACCTGATACTTAATTACTGTTTCTTTCTGTCATCAACTCACGTCATCAACTCACGTCATGACGTCTGATGTTGTTTTTTTTTTAAATTTCACATGGAAGTGAAAATGTCACTACAACCATTTAACCGGGGTCATTAACAAGGGTCACTAACTGACGTCACAAGCTCGGGTCACTAACTGACGTCACTAGCCCGGGTCACTAACTGACGTCACTAGCTCGGGTCATCGGGTCACTAACTGACGTCACTAGCTCGGGTCACTAACTGTCGTCACTAGCTCGGGTCACCAGCTGACGTCACTAACTGACGTCACTAGCTCGGGTGACCGACCTTGTCTTCTTCGTGTAGAAGGTGATGGCGAAGATGATGATGATGATGACGACACAAGCGGCCGTGGAGCCTAGGACGATGGCCAGAAACTTTTCGTCGGTCGTGTCGAACCCCGAGGATTGAACTCCAGCTGCAAGGTCAAGGTTACATTCATTAGGCTACAGACATACAAGAAGGTCACATATGTATCCAAATATATTCTGACCAGCCCCCCATCCCCACCCTATACTAACCAACCGCCCCTCCTCTACTGACCAGGTTATTCCCCCCCCCCCCCCCCACCCCCTCTACTGACCAGGTTCCCCGCCACCCTCCCCCCACCCCACCCCCTCTACTGACCAGGCCCACCCCCTCTACTGACCAGGTTCCCCGCCACCCTCCCCCCCCCCCCACCCCCTCTACTGACCAGGCCCACCCCCTCTACTGACCAGGTTCCCCGCCACCCTCCCCCACCCCACCCCCTCTACTGACCAGGCCCACCCCCTCTACTGACCAGGCCCACCCCCTCTACTGACCAGGTTCCCCCCCACCCCACCCCCTCTACTGACCAGCCCCCCCCTATACTGACCAGGTACAACCCCACCCCCCTCTACTGACCAGGGTCACAGTCCGTGTCCCCGTCACAACAGAAGTACTGGAGCTTGTACTGTTTGACCTCTTGAGGTGGCACGGTCACCAGGTCCAGTCTGGGGAGAGAGAACACAAGTTTAACTGGACATCTGGATATACGGACATCTGGATATACGGACATCTGGATATACGGACATCTGGATATACGGAGATCTGGATATACGGACATCTGGATATACGGACATCTGGATATACAGACATCTGGATATACGGGCATCTGGATATACAGACATCTGGATATACTGACATCTGGATATACAGACATCTGGATATACGGACATCTGGATATACTGACATCTGGATATACAGACATCTGGATATACGGACATCTGGATATACGGACATCTGGATATACAGACATCTGGATATACAGACATCTGGATATACGGACATCTGGATATACAGACATCTGGATATACGGACATCTGGATATACAGAAATCTGGATATACGGACATCTGGATATACGGTCTTTGGACATTTGGACATCTAGATATATGGAGATATAGAGGCACGGACATTTGAACAGTCTCATACACAGACAGGACAAAAGTGAAAATAAAACTGAAGTTGGACAGCTCTAAATCGCAACGGTCACACTACTGCATAGCCACTACCACACTACCACACTACCATGACCACACTACCACACTACCAGGACCACACTACCACACTGCCATGACCACACTACCACACTGCCATGACCACAATACCATGACCACACTACCATGACCACACTACCATGACCACACTACCATGACCACACTATCATGACCACACTACCATGACCACACTGCCATGACCACACTACCATGACCACACTATCATGACCACACTACCATGACCACACTACCATGACCACACTACCACGACCACACTACTATGACCACACTGCCATGACCACACTACCATGACCACACTATCATGACCACACTACCGTGACCACACTACCATGACCATACTACCATGACCACACTACCATGACCACACTGCCATGACCATACTACCATGACCACACTACCATGACCACACTACCATGACCACACTGCCATGACCACACTACCATGACCACACTATCATGACCACACTACCATGACCATACTACCATGACCACACTACCATGACCACACTACCATGACCACACTGCCATGACCACACTACCATGACCACACTATCATGACCACACTACCATGACCACACTACCATGACCACACTACCACACTACCATGACCACACTACCATGACCACACTATCATGACCACACTACCATGACCACACTACCATGACCACACTACCACGACCACACTAGTATGACCACACTGCCATGACCACACTACCATGACCACACTATCATGACCACACTACCATGACCACACTATCATGAACACACTACCATGACCACACTATCATGACCACACTACCGTGACCACACTACCATGACCACACTATCATGACCACACTACCATGACCATACTACCATGACCACACTACCACACTACCATGACCACACTACCATGACCACACTACCATGACCACACTGCCATGACCACACTACCATGACCACACTACCATGACCACACTACCACACTACCATGACCACACTACCATGACCACACTACCACACTAACATGACCACACTACCATGACCACACTACCATGACCACACTACCATGACCACACTACCATGACCACACTACCATGACCACACTACCATGACCACACTACCATGACCACACTACCACACTACCATGACCACACTACCACACTACCATGACCACACTACCATGACCACACTACCATGACCACACTACCACACTACCATGACCACACTACCATGACCACACTACCATGACCACACTACCATGACCACACTACCATGACCACACTGCCATGACCATACTACCACACTACCATGACCACACTACCATGACCACACTACCATGACCACACTACCACACTACCATGACCACACTACCACACTACCATGACCACACTACCCATGACCACACTACCATGACCACACTACCATGACCACACTACCATGACCACACTACCATGACCACACTACCATGACCACACTATCATGACCACACTACCATGACCACACTACCATGACCACACTGCCATGACCACACTACCATGACCACACTACCATGACCACACTACCATGACCACACTACCACACTACCATGACCACACTACCATGACCACACTACCATGACCACACTGCCATGACCACACTACCATGACCACACTACCATGACCACACTACCATGACCACACTACCACACTACCATGACCACACTACCATGACCACACTACCACACTACCATGACCACACTACCATGACCACACTACCATGACCACACTACCATGACCACACTACCATGACCACACTACCATGACCACACTACCATGACCACACTACCATGACCAAACTACCACACTACCATGACCACACTACCATGACCACACTACCATGACCACACTACCATGACCACACTGCCATGACCATACTACCACACTACCATGACCACACTACCATGACCACACTACCATGACCACACTACCACACTACCATGACCACACTACCACACTACCATGACCACACTACTATGACCACACTACCATGACCACACTACCATGACCACACTACCATGACCACACTACCATGACCACACTACCATGACCACACTATCATGACCACACTACCATGACCACACTACCATGACCACACTGCCATGACCACACTACCATGACCACACTACCATGACCACACTACCATGACCACAC